GGGGGGGGGGGAACACCCTGCCCAGTGAGGCCTCTGCAGGTGGTCCCCACGTGGCAGAAGCTCTCACTGAGGCCTGGGAATGTCCCCCCTCAAGTCTCCAGTCTCACCGTGGGCCCTTCTGTCCTTCTCAGAGGAGATGCCCTACCTGAAATGCCCCCTTCATGCTGTCTTGAAGCTGACGCCTGTCGCTTACGGTGAGTGTGGTGACGCAGCCCCTCCGAGACCAGTCTCCCTGGTGGGGTGGCGATGAGGCTGTGAGCGCGGGGCCCCTCTAATCGGTAGCCAACCTCTTCCCTGCCCTCGCCCAGGCTGCCGAGTAGAATCCATCTACCTGAATGTGGAGTCCGTGAGCACGCATCGGGAGAGGTCAGAGGTGAGTGCGAGCTCGCTGCCCCCTACCCCACCCCCGCACACTCCTGCCCTGTCCTCCTTCTGGGAAGGATGCTGCCAAGCAGCGGCACCAGTGGGCGCCAGCACTTGGGACGCGCCCCCCCGCTGCCCCTCCGGTGCCTTGCTTGTAAAGGCTGGCTGGCTGTGTCCGTCGGTGGATTCTGTCTCGTTTGGAACAGTGGCCCTCGTGGCGGCCCTCCCTTTCCTCAGCATCCGCATGCTCCTACCTGCCCGTCTGGTGGCTTCTCGGCGTCGTCTTCCTTTTCTTTCTTGCCATGCGTCTTCCCTCACCACTTGACCCTGGAAGTGAGTGTTGAGGAGGAGGACATTCTTGCTCTTTTAAACGTAACCGTAGCCCAGTTACTGTCACCTTTTCCTTCGGGGCAGCTAAACAATTGCAGGTTCCAGAGTCACGGGACCCACAAATCCACTCAGTCATCTGCATGCACTCAGGTCCCGGATTCCCACGAAGATGATAAGCGTGAAGAAGGGGTGGGACTGGGAAACACAGCTGTGATTCGGGTGTTAGCCATGGGAGCAGTGGCAGGTGGAATGATTTTCCAGGAGACCCCAATGCCTGGCCGCACCTGAGCCCCCTTCTAGGGTGGGGTCTGGAATTCGGTGGTCAGCCTGGCTGGGCCTCCCAAGGGCAGCGCAGGGTTCTGCCCAGGCGTACGTTGTGAGAGAAAGTTTGAATTTACTCTATGCCGACTGTCAAACTCCAGCTCTCTGCCAGCATCAGTCCGACCGTTTCTTTTACACCGAGTGTGATGTTCTTGTCCCTGTTCCCAAGGAGCTTGGCCAGAGGATTTTGGCATTAAAATCCCAGCTCCCATGGCAGTTGCCTGGCTGGTTGACCGAAGCGAAGGCGGACGGCTTCCCTTGGCTGTGACGGCACCTCCTGAGCCGGGGTGGCAGGATGCGCGTTTATCTTCCTTCCAGGAGTAGCAGCCTCCCTGCTGCACTGCCAGCAGCCGGGTTCTTGGGGTTGGGCCCGAACTGGGCTCTGGTGGCCCCTGAACACTTCACTTGTTCAGAGCAGGGCAGGCAGGGGCTTGCTGGAGACAGACCCCAGCTCAGGCTCCTGGGCCACGAGCTACAGAGTGACAGGGCCTGGGGGACTTCAGAGGTCCCCACTCCACTGGAGTTGTCACTTTGTCGGAAGGCTGGTGTTGGGCCCTCGCTGGCGGTTTCCTGCATCTTTGGTCTCCTGGCTGGGAGAGGCTTGCGTTTTCTGTCCTAAGCTGGGTGTTCTCGCTGGCAACAGGAGCTGTGAAGATCCTGGCTTGAGGTCAGTGGGAGGGGGTCCAGCACCACACCTGCTCGCCCCCCGCCCCTCCTGCCGCCCCCAGCGGTCACCCGAGCCTCACGCCCAGGACCCCTGCCTCTGTGTTTTTGGAGGCTGGCAGCAAGGTCCTTCTGATCTCTTCCCTGCTGTAACTGCATCACTGTCTGTGCAGAGCTGTCCTGCTCGTCCTCCCTCGCCTGCTTTGCGAACATCGTGTCTGTCTGAGTGGGTGTCTTGGAATGACTGGGCAGGGGGTTCGGGAGGAGAGATCATCCCTTGTTCTTGCCGAGCGCTAGACACGGGATGAGCCAGCAGCCCCTCGGTCCAGGGCCGTTCACCGTGGTCCGGCTTGTGGTCTCAGTGAAATCCAGAAGCAGAGAAACGTGTTTGGTTTGGTTTTGGATTTTTTGTTTTGGCTTATTGACTTCCCCTTCCTCGTAACTGTCGCCTTCTCTCTTTTGTCTTTGTCTCGCTTAGGATGCAAAGAAGGGACCTAACCCGCTCATGAGACGCAATAGTGTCACCCCACTAGCCAGCCCCGAGCCCACCAAAAAGCCTCGCATCAACAGCTTTGAGGAGCATGTGGCCTCTACCTCCGCTGCCCTGCCCACCTGCCTGCCCCCGGAGGTGCCCACGCAGCTGCCCGGACAAGTGCGTTGACCCCCTTCTCCTTCCTGAGTTGAGTCTCGTGCCTGCTGGGGAGGAATGTGCCCGGAGGGGCGGCGGCGGCCTCAGACCCAGGCCCGCTTGGGGGTGTGCAGGGAGAGGACACGGATGCCGCTCTGAGTGTGGGACCCCTGGATCCGTCCTTGAGACCTTGGCTGTGCGTGCACACGCCCGTTCTGGGGAGGTGGTGTTCCCCGGGCAGAGCCAGGCAGAGCAAAGAAATGGCCAAGTGTCTGCGATCCATTCACATTGGTGAACAGTTTCTTCTAAAAGTTGAAGGCAACCCCCAGTTCAGGGGTCTCCATCCAGCTTTGGGCTGTTGGCTTCTGTGTGTCCCGGGGACGTCTCTTCTGTCCCTACGCTGAGTATTCTTCCTCACTTGCTCCCTTGCCATCGTTCCCCGTTAGAGAAAAGCTCTCGTCAGATGGGGCCCTGGGAGCGTGTACGGAGCCACCATGGCCAGGCTGGAACCCGGGCCGGAGGACCTGGAATTAGCCACTTTCTCCTATAACGTAGTAAAAAACCCCAAAGCAGAAAACCAATTAGATTTCATTCTTAGGTTATTTCATTCGCTGTGATGGTGAAAGGCTAAAAGATACTGGCTACTGGGCATTAAGATTTTTTTTCAGAAAACCACCCTTTTCCTCAACAACACCCGAGAATCATGGCCAGGATGTGAGACGTAGAAATCCCTGGGCACAGATTGGGGTCCCACCCAGTGGTCTCCCCCACCTCCAACCCGCCACGCCTGGCCTCTGACACAGAAATCACAGGCTCAGGTTCGAATTGGATTTGTTAATGAGCTGGGTGCTGAAGGCCCACAAGCTCTTCCTGCGTTTCCCCCAAAACGCATTTAAACCGTGTGTTGTCTGAAAATGTTTTGCGTGTGTGTGTGGGGGGGTGGGTGGGAGGGTGTTGTGCAGCCCCAGCAGGCCATCGTACCTCTTCAGGCCTCAGTTTTCACATCTGTGGAATGGGGGAGCAGCAGCTGCTGCCAAGGGCTGATCAATGGTGTGATCGTGCTGAGACTCTGACATGGTGGTATCTGCTCCTGGTGCTGGCTCTGGGGTTTTATTGTCAGGTTCCGTCACCTCCCCGGGCCTTCAGTCTCCCTGTTTTTTAAAATGAGGGGGGTAGACTGGCTGGGAGATGTCTAATTAGTGCTCCTTTCAGGTCTAACGTCAGAGGTGCTTTTTATGAAAACTGAGAACTGAAGTGGTGTGTCAGTGATATCCTGCGTTGGTGTAAACGGTGGGGTCTTAGTTGGAAGGTTGGAGGCCGCAATCACAGACGCTGTGGGGACCGGCCGGGCGGGGGTTGGGCGGTGTGCAGGGCCACTGGCTGGCCAGGCCGGGAGGGTCCAGGGCTCTGTCCCCGCGGAGGCTGCCTGGTCCCCGATGACCTGGGCCCTCACCCTGTCCCTCAACTGACTCTCTCTCCCACCTTTTCTCTCTGCAGCCTTTGCTAGGGAAAGCCTGTTTGTAAGTATTTTTCTCATTCTGAATACTTTTGCTTTTTGCATCTCTTTCTCCTTGCTTGCCAGTTTGGCCTCCTACCTGTTAAAGTGTTGAGGGTAATGCCAGTTTCTGTGAAATCTGAAGGAGGAAGATGGGACGGGAGGAAAAATAAGGGATTCATGGATTTTCAGAAAAGGACAGAGGAAGTCGGCGGGTTTTTGGTGCATCCTCCTGCTGCCGCGGCCACCACGGGGCCGGGGCGATTGTTAGTATTTGCAGTGCTTGATGGCTGGATGTCTATCTACTTTTTCCCTCTTAGAGTCAGATTTTGGTGGGAGCTGGGTTTGTGCCTACTGATGTTGTCTTTTAAGTTCTGGGTCTCTCCCGGGAGAGCCCTGTCATTTTGAAAGGAAAGTTTACCCAGAGCCTAACCTGCAAAACAAAGGGTGAAGGACCCAAGCCTCTCTCCCTCCTGTCCTGGCAAGGACCCCCACCTTCAGGGGCTCCGGGACCCCCAGGCTCTGGAGAGGTCTGTTTGGGAGCCATCATTCTGCATCGGGGTGTCCTGTATCACAACCTGCTCGACATTTATGGTCACGTTCAGGATGGGGTGCAGCTTTTTCTCTGCAGAGAGTTCAGTGTTAGCACCTGCTGGATAATCCAGTGCTTTCTCTGCTCCGGTGGCCCCCAGCCCCAGAAAGAACTGAGGCCTTTATGTTGCAGAGTTTTAATAAGAGACACCCTGAAATATCATCCCCAATGCCACGAGTCACACCCACCCCGCGTCCCTTTCGCTGGTTAGGCTACCTGGACTAATTCACGCAGAAATGTGGCTTATTCTTGGAAAATAGGAGCTGTTGGGCATCATGCTTGGACTAGGTGGTACCACCTGTTGAGAAATATATTTCATCACTTTATGGCTTGTACACATCCCGAGTCTTTGGTCCTTAAAATAACCCCAGGAGGTCACAAGGCAGTTCCTGTCCCTGTTGCCAGGTGAGGGTGAGTCTCTCTCCCACGGTCACCCAGCTGGTTCATAGCAGAACCAGCCCTTGAATGGGTCTCCCAGTCCCAAAGGCTGGCTGTTTTCTCTCTGCCGGTTTCCAGAACAGCCAGGGTCCTGTTCACCTGCCTATCCTGGGCACCTGACGTTTGCAGCCTGTGGGGCGTGGCCCCGAGCTGTTCAATTTCCTTTCTCTTTCTTGCAGCCTCTCCCCTGCAGCTGCTTCCCTGAGGCTGAGATGCGTTTATACAATGGTGGGCCTGCCCGTTGAGTTCAGTCTTTAAGAGTAACAGTCCCACGTCCGTTACCCCCCTGACGCCAGGCGTTGCGCCCAGGATGCCCTGGGATCAAGAGTTCTCCTTGTGTGAAAACTAGCCTTTGGGTTTGGAACCTTACGGTTTTGCATCTGTGTGTATCCTGTTCCTTCTGACCCATGGCCTGATGCTGCCAGGAGAGAAATCTTCTTGCTGGGAGGGGGCCATTCAGGCACATCCCCCAACCCTCTAAGGTTGAACTTGTCCATCTCTAAGGCTAATGATGCCTGTAGCCAAAATCCCTTCAGTTCAGCAAAAATGTGTTCTCTGGACCCATCACACCTGCATCCACTCAGGTGTCCCAGCGTCCAGGTGTTTTGATGATAAGAATATGCATGTAGCACTTAGCAAGATACCTGACATGTGGTCAGTGCCTGGTGCACAGTAGCTGTTCCCGTGGGAGATGTGATGCCCTGTGCTTTGGTGGTTACATCCAGGGCTCTCTGGTCTGTGTTCCCTCCTGCACAGGCCAGGGGGATTTCTCCTCGTGGGCAGCAGGAGCGCCTAGGGACTAGGGAGTGGGGTGCCCCTGGGGTCTTAGGGTTGTGGCCCGAGGATGCCGGTGACGGTGGTGCTCTGGTAAAACAGGCACGACAGCCAGGTGGGACTCAGCGCCCGCCCTGCAGTCCACTCTCCAAGGGCTGCAGTAGGGCTCAGGACCAACGGACCATCTGGCCCTCACGACGCATCCTTGACTTTTAAATTTCAAATGCACGCTAAGAAGAGAATCCTACTAAAGATGTTTTGTTTTGTTTTTCTTTCCCAACCTGTTTCTTCCTCCCTCCCCCCCACTATGCTTGAAAGACGAACTGTCTGTCATATTTTCTCAAAGTTTTCTCCTTACTAACCTTGGAAAGGTAAATGGCTCCGTGCATGCCCTCCTGTCCCCTCCACGTCTCTCTGGGTCATGGCATCTCAGCCCTTGGGGCGCCTCAGTCTGCGTGAAGACTGGCCATTGTGAAGTCTGTGACTCATACACCCTGTGCCCCAGAACTTGTGTGCCCCATTGTGTTGAGATCCTCCATGTGTCCAGAGCCAGGGGCACCATGAGCGAATGACGTGGCCTGTGCCTGTGGTCCCCCGTGTCATCATTGCATTGCCATCATTCGTGGGTGCTCCAACCTTGGGCATGAGGTGTCCCAGGGTGGGTGGGAGCCAGCACCTCCATCTCTGACCCCATGGGTTGACTGGGTCCTCTCTGGCTGCGAGGCTGGGAGCCTCCCCAGGAGACACCCCGCTCACAGGGGCTGTCTGATGCACTCGTGGTCAGAGGGTCGGTCACCTGGGCTCCTGAGTCCGGCTGAGAGCGGGCTCAGATCAGGCACTGGCTTCCGTGCTGCCAGCCCTGCGATGGTCCTCTGTAGAGATTCTCCACCTCAGCCCCCCGGTTCACACGGGAGGGGAGTGGGCCTTGGTGATGCTTAACATTTCTGTCTGCCTGGGTTCCATTCTCCCTGCTGCCCCTTTGAGACAGTCTTGGTGGAGACACTCAGGATACAAGAGAACACTTTTAAAGATTCTGCTTCCCTTTCCTGCAGGGTGGCTTAGTAGGGAGGGTAGGTCAGGAGACTGCTGCTGTGTGGTGGCACCCATCATCTGTTCCCAGCTGATAGAAAAATATTTTTTAAGGGGGTTTTGGTACTGGCCAGCGTCTTTGGGGTGGGGCTTCTGGGTAGGACTGCTTTTATTAGAACGGGGTGAGAGCTTTACTGACACATGCCTTCTTTGCCCGGCTCCCATGCTTGAGTTCCGGCATCCGAGCTGTGTTCCTGTAACCCAGGTCCCTAGGTCTGTGGTACACCCTGCTGGGGGGAGAGTCCTGACGCTTCTCCAGATTTACCCCCACCCCCACCCCCACCCCTTCCTCTGCCTGACAGCAAAGCCAGCAGGAGTTTCCCGGGTTGGGGCAAGGGTAGCCTTGGGCTCTAAAGGGTCGTGAGCCGGGGGCGGGGGCGGAGGGGGGGCCTAGGTGCTGGCACCCAGTGCTCCCCAGGACAGCTGTGACCCACAGGAGCTGCCTGCCTTCCCTTCCCTGCCTCCCTGCCTCCTTCAGGCAGACGTCAGGGGCCCTCCTGGCCCTTCTCCCCTGGGACCCCCGGGCTTAGCCTCCACCACGTTCCTGGGCCACTGTTTGGCGATGATGCTCTTCAGGGCCGTGTTCTTTGTTGGGGAGAGGGGGGCACGTCTCAACTGCATGGCTTTCGTCTTTGCTTTAGAACCCTAGTCAACAGGAATGGTAACCGGCTTCCCTGTCTTTTCTCCCGAAAGCAGAACATGAAAGGCTCCCCGAGCGGCGCGGAGGCCTCCAGGACGCACTGACGCAGCCCCGCCGGCGCCCCGCCCTTTCGCTCCCGCAGCTTTGCTCCTGCCCTTCTGTCTGCCCAAGGCCAGCGATCCCGAGGACATCTCCCGGAGGGCGGCGTGGAGGAGGGGCTGCTGCTCCAGGAGGACCGGGCCCCCGCCTGCCTGTGCTCCCCTGGCCTTCGGGCCACGCGCCCCGCGGACCCCTTGAGGCCCGGGAAGGACGATGTGCAGTGGAGGCGGGACGGCGGCACCTCCCCGTGGGCTTGTTCATCTCGTTTCTGGACCTTCCCTGCTGGGGAGATGACGCTTCCCCGAGTCCTAACCTTAAAGGGGGCCTGGATCTCAGCTGCTGAAGTTTAAGGGATACTGAAGACTTTCAGAAGGCTCTTGGTGCCTCTCGGCCTGGACGTTGCCTCCTGCAGGGAGCCCTCGGCCCGTGCTAGTTTGGGGTCGGCCGGGAGAGCCCGGAGCTGGACCTGCTGGTCAGCCAGGCAGCGACCCTCCGCGTGTTGCTCACCCTCCCGGATGTGTGTCCTTGTGTCCTGTCTCTGAAGATGGTGTGGGACCGTCTAGCTGCGGAGGCAGGAGGAAATACGTTGCCGAAAGAGCACCAGGGCCTCGCCTCCCAGGGAAGGCTCCTGCCTGGACTCGAGGCATCTGGGACACGGCTCTCCCGGGGCTGCCGGCTCGTGCACTTTTTTTATGGCAGAGAGTGTGACCTGAAAGTCACACCTTCAGGAACTTAGATGTTTGCATTTTGCGCCCTTGGGGTTGGAGCTCTGAAAAGATGTGGGAGTTGGGCAGCCTGTGGGGAGGGGAGGGACCCCTCACCCCGTAAAACGGCCAGGGAACGAGGGCCTGGCCTCCTCCTTTGGGGCCTTCATCACGTCCTGTGTTTCCCTGGTGGGAACAGTGGCCCAAGCCAGGCCTCGCTCGCGGCCACTTCCTCCGAGAGCCTGGCTATCTGCTGTCTCCTGGCAGGATTCAGCTCGGTTCCCTACGCTTGTGTCAAGCATCTGCTGTGTGCCCAGCGTGGAGCTGGGTGCCTTGGGCGATTCTGGAGGAGAGAATGTCCTCATTTGCCTTCATGGCACCTGTGGCATTTTGGGGGCGTGGTTCAAGGCAGGGCTTGTGGACACGTGGTTCTAAACACCTGTAGTTTCCGCCTGCGGGTTTTCCTCTGAGGCCTCCGAGGACTGGGGGAGGGGGGTTGTCGAGGCCCAGGAGGATGGATTTGGACTCAGCAGTAGAGTTTGTCCAAATGACCCTTTTCAGGATTTCTGAAAGCCGGTGCCAAAGGTCACCTTCCCTTCCCTTCCCTTTCCGTCTTCTGCTTTGGGGTCCCACATCCTTACCCCTCTTAGCTTGTGCAGTAGTCACTGGGGGTAGAGGCAGGGGCGTCTAGACAGCTGGAGCTGGGAGTGGGGAGAGGAGCTGTTTTGGGGTTTTTGTTTGAAAGGAGCTCGTAGAAAAATTCACGTTCCTCTGGTTGGGAGAAATGGGAACACGATTCAGACACCCTACAACCAGGTTTGTGGGTTTCACACAAAACCATTCAAATCCTCCCTTCCCTTAACTGGCCATCTTCCCAAGACGATGTCTCTCTGTACGTTCCGTGCAAGACTGGTTACTTTCTCGCTTTCCCGCTGTCTTGTCAGACGTGTGTGTGTGTGTGTGTGTGTGTGTGTGTGTGTGTGTGTGTGTGTGTGTGTAGGTTTGTGTTTTTAGACGGAGGGGCCTGCAGCTCTGCTCTTGAGAATGGCTCTCTTATGTCCACCTTTTGGTTCCTTCTCTGGTTGTCGGAGCTGACCCTGAATTTTGACTCTTCTGGCTGGTCTGAGTGGGGTCTTCGTGAAGGTGTGTCCCCTCTTACCTCTGACTGCCCGAAATCAGTGCATCCACAAAGGAAGCGCTTGGTCTAACCCGGGACCTTGGTTTTCAGGAGCCTCAGTGGGGAGAGAGAACATCAATACGGGCGGGGAGGGGAGATGGGGAGAGGGCGGAGGCTGGGAGACTGGAGACCAGGGGCCTGACATCTGAGGAGGGAGGCGGTGGACAAGGGTGTGTCTGAGCCATGGTCTCAGGGCTTCTGCAACGCCGACCATTGACTCTCACTCCCTCACCTCCCGAAAAACATCTGGGACCAATATTTTTAACTTTGCATGTTTGTTTTGGGGGCGGGCTCCCGCCTCTCCTTCTGTCCCTAGACTGTGGGCGAAGCTCTCCGTTTGGGGGCTGGGGGAAGAAAGACTGTTGGAACCACGCCTATGACGTTTTCGTTTCTAATACTTGAAATTTATTTTTTTATTATTTTGATAGCAGATGTGCTATTTATTTATTTAATAAGTATAAGGGATCCTGAAGATGGAAAGCTGTATAGATTGGGTCTTGTTAGTTGGTTGGCTTAGGGGCCTTTTACGTGTGATTTCTGACTTCTCTGTGTTCTGTATACATTTGTCTGAATTAATTACCTGGGATGAAGCTGTGCCAGCTTTCAAACAGGGGATGCCTGTAGGAAATTTGTATATTTTGCAGTTGCCAGAACAATAAAATACCTGGTTGAAATACATGGATGAAGTGCGTCTCTGGTCCTTTTTGGGGGGCGGGGAGGAAGAGTCTTTAATCACACTTGGGGTCAGTACACCAAGTTTCTACCACTCAGCCCCATCACCTTCCTTCAAACAGGACTTGCAGGGAATTCCCTGGCGGTCCATTGGTTAGGACTCTGCGCTTCTACTGCAAGGGCTCTGGGTTCGAGCCCTGGTTGGGGAACTAAGATCCTGCAGGCCGCGCGGCATGGCCAAGGGAAAAAAACAAAACGGGACATGCAGATTCTGATTGCCTAATGTCTGCATTTGCAAAACAATGTTGTGTCACCTTTAAAAAAATATGAATAGCCTTTATTTTTAGAGCAGTGTTAGGTTTACAGAGAAGAGCAGGTAGTACAGAGAGTTCTTGGATACCCCCAGGTCCAGGCATATGTCTCCCCTGTTATTAGCATCTTGCATTTGTGGTGCATTTGTTACAACTGATGAGCCAATATTGATGCGTTATTATTACCTAGAATCTATGGTTTCCACTAGGGCTCACTCTGTTGTGTGGTCATGTGCATTTTGACAAACACATACTGATGTATCTACCATCATGGTATTCAGAATGCCACCCATCCCTTCTCCCAGCCCCTTCAGTCAGCAGCTGTTCTTTTCTATTGATTTATTTATTGATTTATTTGGCTGTATCTGGTCTTAGTTGCGGCACGTGGGCTTCTCTCTAGTTGTGGCATGCCAGCTCCAGAGCACGAGGGCTCCGTAGTTGCGGCACGTGGGTTCTCTAGGTGTGGCGTGCGGGCTCTACAGCGCTCAGGCTTAGTTGCCCTGCAGCATGAGGGATCTTAGTTCCCCGACCAGGGATCGAACCCGCATCCCCTGCATTGGAAGGCGGATTCTTAACCACTGGACCACCAGGGAAGTCCCAGTCAGCAGCTGTTCTTATACAAGCCCTGAAGATGGTGTTGGGGCCCTGGGTAGAATCACAGGAAGGCAT